CTTGGGTGTTATGTCAGTGTAAAAAGTGTGGAGATCGGTGGTATCGCAGAGCCCTTTTGGCAAAAGCATGGTGTGCATCATGTTATGATGTGGAGTTACAAACAAGGTATAAAGCCATTGAATTTTTAATTGTAGTAGGCCACGAGGAAAGGGATAGCCCTCGCCTCTCTATTCTCAGGAGCGAAGTTTTGAGGGAAGCTGAAAATAGCTATATTTGCAAAGTAGAGTGCAAACAAAACAATTTAGTGCCTTATATCTGGCCAGTCCCTGAACAAGCTTGGGAGAGGACAAAAAGGGAATGTGCTAAGAGATATGCTTGGAAACTAAAATCCAAAAACAGGTTTTTTGCTGCAACATAGAATGGAGTTAAAATGGATGCTCTGCTTATGCTTATTAGCACTGCTTAGTTTTACTAACACAGCCTGGCCTGTTGACCAACCCAAAATAAATGTTTGGATAACTCTAGCCAATACAACAAAACAAGATACCCTATGCTTGGCCACTGCATCCCCAGAAAATCCATTTTCAACCTGTCTAGTCAGCTTGCCATTAGACAATTGGCCAATACCAAAAAATACTGAAAGTGTGGTGCAGAGCTCAAATCCTGTTGATGCATGGGATCAGTGGACCCCCTACCTTCCTGAAGCACCCTTGGAGCCCCAAGAATTAGAGCTCCTGGGTTCTGTAAAAATGGATTTTTGTGTTAATTTTAAATACACAGGAAGAAATCAGTCTAAAGCTTGGGGTGTTTCTCCCCATCACCCTGTGTATAAGAATCAAACCTTTTGGGGTAATTACAGTTCTGGCAGTCCTTCTAAATCCAGCAATGCCCCCCCTAAGGCTGCCATCAGGAATGTTTTTGGTCTGTGGAGATTGGGCCTGGGCTGCTATCCCTTTACACATAAAAAGGGGTCCCGGTAGTCTGGGACAATTGACTGTGTTAACACCTAACACATACATGATTTTACAGCACAAATATCCTCGCAAAATAAGGCGCAGTTTACATGCATTTGATAAATACTGCAATGATGAAGTGTCTCTGTGGTCTGAGACCCAAATGAATTTGGCCTCTTTACTTTTGCCAAAATTGGCAGCAAAAAAGGCCTTAACCCAATTAAATGAGATGGCTTGCTGGCTGGCAAAACAGACAAATGACACTAGCTCTGCTTTGTCAAACCTATTAATGGATGTTGATAGCGTAAGGCATGCTACTTTGCAAAATAGAGCTGCGACAGATTTTTTGCTTTTAGCACAAGGTCATGGCTGTGAAGATTTTGATGGAATGTGTTGCATGAACCTTTCTGATCACTCAGAATCTATCCATAAGAGCATACAACAACTGAAGGATAGTGTGTTTAAACTAAGAGTAGAATCTGGATCATGTCTAGATAACCTGTTTAATGGCTGGGGTTTAGCTCCCTGGCTAAAGGATTTCTTTAGGATAGGTATGCATGTGGTGATTTTGATAATAGTTATATTAATCATGATACCTTGCTTGCTTCAATGTGTGCAGAGATTAATTAATAAGACCATTAAAGGAGTGGTTTTGGTTGACACAGAAGGGGGAGATATTGGGGTGCATGAGACAGAGAGTACTTTGGACCTTATCAGCATAAGAGAACTGATAGATAAAATGTCTTGGCAAAAGCAAACGGAACTTTGAAAATTAGATCTAGATAGCAAGAAGATTTAATTAGACAGGTTTACCGGAAAAAGAAAATCCTATTAAACTCTGTAAGCAAGAGGTGTTGTTATATGCATAAGTTTGTGTATATGATTCTAACCTAATCATTGTAGTACACATTACTAGTCTCCCTAAAATAGTATATAAGTGCTTGTATCCCACAATAAAATTGGATTCTGATCACCGAGTCAGTCTCCCCGTCTCTCTCCATTGCCGACACGTACAGATAAGGCAATGGGAAAAAAAGCCCAGACCAACACACCATTTTCTCCAAAGGTTTTTTAAATGGTTTTAATCATGCTTTCATCCTAGGATAGTTGGCACAATACACAGCTCTGATTCTACCTAGAATGTAGTTTTGGGTAGAGTAGATTCAGGTAGCTCACAGTTACTGAACAAGATCATACTTTTAATCTTTACCTTGTCCATGCGTTTCCTATACACTGATAGTATTGAGGTCGCAGATCCCTCTAAGTCATTTGATCTCAGTAATCCTGTAGAAAACTAACACATTCAAAAGTTTTCTGCTGTGTTTAGTGAATCCAATCATCAATTAAATGTATTAATGTATTAGAGGAAAAAAACATTGCTCTGTTGCTTTTGGCTGGGGTAGAGTCGGTTTTCTTCCCAGTGGCTGGTATGGGGCTATGTTTTGGACTTGTGCTGAACACAGGGTTGATAATATAAATGTTTCTTTTATTCCAGAGCAGGGTTTACACAGATGAAAGGTCTTTGCTGCTTTTTGTGCTGCCATGCTGGGGAAGGGGCTGGGGCATGCATGGGAGGTTAGGAGGAGACAGCTGAGATAGCTGACCCCAACTGGCCAAAGGGATATCCCAGACCATATGACATCATGCTCAGTATATGCAATGAGGGAAAGAAGAAGGAGGAGGGAGATATTTGAAGTTATGGCATTTGTCTTCCCAAATAACCAATACATGTGATGCATTCCTGCTTTCCTGGAGATGGCTGAACATCTGCCTGCTCATGGGAAGTGGTGAAATAATTCCTTGGTTTGCTTGTGTGTGTGGCTTTTGCTTTTCCTATTAAACTGTCTTTATCTCAACCTGTGAGTTCTCTCACTTTTACCCTTACAATTCTCTCCCTGATCCTACTGGGGGAAAATTGAGCGAGTGACTGCATGGGGCTTGCTGGCTTGCTGGGATTAAACCATGACAACTGGCCACACTGGATGGGAGAGTTAGTAGAAACAACACAGCTGACAGGCAACAAGACCCTCCCCCTGTCAGAAGCAGATAGATCAATCTCAATTGCCTGTGCAACCACAGCTCAGGTCAGAAACCTACCTTCTGAAAGGCAATGCAAGCTAAATGCAATCTAGTGCTATCTGTCCTTTGATATATTTCTTAAAATGCTCCCTTCCACATACCTAGGACAGTTCCTCCCACAGTTTACTGGAAAGAGAATGACAGAACAGAGGAGTAGCTGGAGTCATAACAGAGCATCTCCTCCTCCAGTCCCAATGAAAAACAAGCAAACCTCACAATAACCAGGACTCGCTAACTCTGGTACGACACTGCAGTCTGGTTGCTCACAAGGGCCAAATTAATACAAATGCTCAAAATTCTATAGTTTGAGCAACTGCTGTGAAGGCATCTCCCTATTATATTATCAATGTGTAATATATTTAATGTGCTGCATCACATATGCAAGTGATACAGCGAAATATGTAAACCATTAACAATACTGAAAATAAGAATTGTTATGTTCAAGAGTTACTGTCCTCACTTCTGACATTCCGGACAGCAGAACCTGGGGGGAAGGGGAGGAAAGAAGCAAAGCTTTCTCATGCCTTATTTTCCAAAGGCATGCAAAACAAACAGCAACATTTATTAGAAGTTCACACAAGCCACAGAAAAAGTTTTACACGTTGCTACAGTGAGGTTTTCTGAAACCCCAGACAGAGATCTGCAGGAGTTATGTAAATAACTGCCAGACCAATCAGATCCTTCACGTGACATACAAGCCATTAAGCACAAATTAAGGGCTTAGGTTTAATATAGTGTCCAGGTAACACCGACTATTATTTTATTGTAGGGTTGAATGGCAGTATGGGACATGAGTAGACAAGCTGCATAAAGCTTGTTGGATGCTCATTTCCTGTCTTATGAACATGCTAACTTCAGTGCCTTTGACCTCCAGGTATTTCTTTCCTTGAAAACACCTGCTTATTCTTTAGGAAGCTCCTGAATCTAGGAGATGAGAAAAAAAAAAATCTTTCCAGAAAATCCAAGCAGAACCCCACCCCTGTTTAGTAGATGTCATAGATCTCACAGAGGCATTCCCTCCCCTCTGTGCATTGCAGTCCAGAGTGTGAAGAACAAGTCGGCTTTCTTCGCTGACAAGCTCTACAACAGATTACATATTCCCACTCAAATTGAAGACCTGAAGTCACAAATGACTTGTCATTGATTCAGTCAGTGAACTTCCCATTTCAGTTCTCATTCTGGACGAATATGATTAATTAGTACCCTAAACCTAACACACACACTTCTTTTATTCATGTGTATTTTTAGTCAGCAACATACATCCTCCCATCAAGAGATACTGGACAAGATGAGAAACACTGGATCCTCAACAGAGAAAAAAGAATCCATAGGCATAAATAGAAAATACTTTTTGTGTATTTTAATCATAAGGAACAACCGGAATAATAATACCAAGTTTTTTTGTCAAATGATGAAAGCATCTAAAGGCATTTCTGTCAGAGCATACTGCTGTCATTTTTTCTGAACACGGCTCAAACGCCAAAGCAAACAAGAAGTCGTTACTTTGCATTGAAAGCCTTTCCTCCTTCCATCACCTCATCCCTTCCCACCTATCCGCCAAAACCTCCCCGTGCTTTTCTCCCACCCACACTCCTCTTTCCCCCAAATCACCTCAACCCCATCCACAACGACCCCGCACATCTCATAGCTCACCCCAAACTTGTCCCGTTTTCTCCTCCCACATGAGCCCCTTCCATCTCGGCTTCATCCCTCTCGCACCCCTCTTCTCCCCGCCATTTCAGCCCCTTAACCCACCGCTGCGCCCCCCCTCGTCGCCTCCTCGGCCTGCCGCAGCCTCCCCGCCACCAGCGGTAGCCGCCGCCGCCGCTCACGCCCCGGGCAACCGCCCTCCACCGCCAAGCGCGAGCACTCCCCTGACAACCGCAGCGCGCACCAGGCCCAGCCACTTCCCAGCCCCGCGCACACAATGGGCCCCGCGGGCAGCCTCCCCCGCGCCACGCACCGGGGCGACGGCACTCGGCCACTTCGTCGAACTGGCTCCCTCCCGCCGCCCCTGCCCCACTGACCATCGCTGCGCTTGATCTCCACGTAGATCCCTATCTGAATCTTGCTGAAGTTGGCCGCTGCCATCGCTTCATGGGGCAGCCGGGGATATCGGAGGCACTGCCGGACAGCGCACAGGGGGCAGTGAGGGCGCGCACAGCAGCGAAGGCGGCGGCTTCGAGAGGGCAGGCGGGCGGAAAGCGGGGGACGGGGAGAAAGAGTAAAGGCGCTGGCCGGATATAACAAACACTGGTACTTGCAGCGCCTGTGCAGCTCGCCGCGGCATCACGACAGGCCCGGCTCACGGAGAAGGCGGGGGTAGAAGCTCTGCCGCGGTTTGTTCTCCGCCCTTCACGGCACCTGGGCAGGGCTGGCACAAGATGGACGCCCCCACTCCCCAGGGGCTGCCTCCCTGCTCGCTTTAGCCTGGACCAGATGTTCGTCCCAGCTGCGAGCTGCCTATGCGAGCCTCCCCTCTTGGCCTTGTCCCTGACTTAAAAACACACACGTGTGCCTATTTGGCACAAAATTGTGACTCTGCTGCTGTTATACATACATATTATAATACTGGCTTTTCACAAATATTAAAATGGATTTTATATGTGCAGTGTAAAGTAGCTTTATAATAAAGATATAGTTTTTATTTCTGTTGTTATTAAGCTTAGACATAGTAGTGAAATAAGTATGCTTGTGTTAAAATGCCTGCTTGGATGGGATAACATCCAATGAACATAGGATGAGGACACCTGCTACAGATATGCCAACTATCAGCACTCACCGTCTGAAGACAGTGTGGACCAAGGCCCAAAAACTGGAGGTGATAAGAATGGACTGAAAACCACAACCAAGGAATAAGCATGCTCTAAAACAGCAGACCCAAGGAGGAGCCATGCTAAACAATTCTTGGAACATGTAAACTAGTTTGGGGAAAAAGTTTACTATGCATAAGGGTCTATGAATATGCAACAGGCTGATGTAATGGAAAAGGTATTTAAGGGGTATCCCAGAAGACAAGTGTGCTCTTGGCTGTGTGCCAAGATGCACCCGGTCGTAATAACCTTTGCTCTATGATCCTTGTCTCCTATTGTCCTTTATTAAACTTTTTAAATTTTCACAGGACAGTGAACATGTTTTTCACACAGTGAACGTGTTTTTCACAGCTGCCTTGAAGTTTTAATGTAATAGCTTTATCTGCCTAATATCAACTCATAAGGCTCCCATGTGCCAAGTAAAGCAGCTTAGAAGCATGCTTTGTACTTGCTCCCCAAACTGCCAGCATCAGTCCAAATAAGTCCACACTGTCAACAGCACCCATCCATCTTCACTTCAGGATTGCTTTTATACGACTTTAAAAAACCCCAAAACTCATTTCATCTTCCATGTTTCCCTATAATGACTACTGTACCTAAGGTGAAATAAATAGGACAGGAGATCTTTCTCCTTTTTAATGCCTTTATTAAAGATCAGCTTGGGTGGGGAGAACTGACTGGTCATGCTCACGATGCCGCTGCTCCCAGGAATGGCACGGAGGAGGAGGAAGAGTGCAGCTATGTCCACTGGTATGCAGGCACAGCTGGGGCTTCTGTCCTCAAGAGAACACCAGTAGATTCCTGGTTTTTCGGCTTGACATTCAAGGTACTGTTTCTAGCCGACGTCTTATTAGGTTAGGGTGAGAGGTAAAAAGGGTCTTAGCAGACACTGGATTCTGTTCCTCACATCTAGGCATCACTTCAATCTCTTAATTCCGTTGTGGCTCGTTGTTTTAGGGGTTTTTCCTGCTCGATTTGGTGAGGGGTTTCCTCATTTGCATGCCAACCCCGATGTCACCTCCTCCTCACAGTCCCAGGTGCCACCTTCCAGGAAGTAGCAGGGGGATACTCGACCAAGGGGGTTTTCCCACCATCAAGAACAGGTAATTAAAGGAAAACTATTAACAACAGGGGATTACAACATGAAATTATTAACAACAAATAGTTGGAACTCCAACTTGGCAGCAATTGGTTTAACTTGTGAACTCTGCAACCTTTAAAAAAATGGACAACTTTTCTACTCATGACATTAGGCAAGCCATTTTGTTAAATGCTGGCCCTTGGGTTTCTCTTTTGAGGGTTGTTCCTAACATAAGGAAGCCCTAACAGGTTTAGGATTGCATTTCCTGTACAGTTTCCTAGTCACTTTGAGCAGCATTACATTTGTAACTACTGTTTGATCATCTAATTTTCTGTAGTAATTGCTTGTGTGCAGAAAATCTACACTGTGAAAGGCCAGTGTCCACAAAGGAGACCAAGAAGTCCTATACCTTTATTCTAATAAAGGGAGAGAGTTCACTAAAGCATACCACCCAGTGTCTTTGTCGAGGTCTCAGAGGACACAGCCTTCTTTTATCCTAAACTCCCAGCTGCATGTTGCCCTCTTCTGTTCCCCATTGGCTGAGGTACTAGGAAAGTACAGCCTTCCTGAACCGCTTACCGCACATTCTCCCCTTGAACCTCCAAAGTTCAGAAACTCAGGCTTGTACCAACCCATTTGTCTCTTTCAGGAGTCAAACTGTCTGGGTTCTGTAACAAACCTGGGGCATGAAGTTGCTAGAGACATTAAGACCCATTTCAAAGATGTTAACACCCATACCCTCACCTATCAAATTGTTTGTAAAGACACTAGCACACATCTTTCCTATCAACCCCTCCTCTTCTTATTTCTCAATTCATCTTTGCAAGCCGTAGTTATCATTACATTTTTTTAAGCACCCAGAATGGTTTAAAAATTAACATTTGAACTCCCCCTCCCCAACTTTTCCACGTCTGGTCCCTGCACCAGGTGTGGCAAGTAAATACAGAGAAACAGCATAAAGTAGATAATGACAGTTTGTATTAGCCCACTAATATTTGGGGCTACTGATCTGGTCCACCTCTGCAGAGAGTTAGCAGTTAGAGGTTCCCCATATTTTTCTTCCATCTGAGAAGTCCAAATCTCTGGGGCTTTTGAGACCTTGACCCGGGTATGATGGGTCCACCCATGTTCAGCTGTCTTGATGTGTCGCAGTCGAGGCGGTCACGACACAAAGCAGAGACCACAAGCAGTCTCAGTTGGTAACACTTGGCAACAGTTTGTTAATGAAAATGGCTGATCTTTTATACACTTTCCAGTTGTTTATCCTTCCTCTACCTTAGCTATTGGCCACAATAATTCAATACCATGCCATTGGTGAAAAGTTACTCTGACTCCACCTAACTTTCTAAAAATGCTTCATCCAGCTGCAGAATGCTCTTATCTTCCTTCTCTCGATCTCCTTGGTTACGGCCTTGGAGAAAGCTCCTTATCAGCTTCTTCTTCTTCTTACTTCTCGCTCCTTTACCTAACAGGCCCGCTGCTAGCCCCTTCCACAAATCCCCCTTTTTTGTTTTTGACCTGTAAATACAGCTGCTATGGATTTTTGCAGGGCCCTTTGCAAAAACCCAAGCAGAGAGGGGACACACAAAATCACAATCACAGCCATCAACAAAATTCCCATTCTTCCTTCATCCATCTTTAAGTACTGATATATGGTCTTAGCCAGTGTCATCCGCACGTTCTGCTTCAGCTGCGGAGCCATCGATCCTGTCCTTTCCCGCACGTTCTAGGTAAGGTTTAACACAGCGAGCAGGAACCCATCAAGGACCATTATCTGTCAAAACACAAGCATAACCCCTTCCCCAGGTTATCAGTTCCACTGGACCAGACCATATACCAGTAATCAAGTCCTTGACCCATACCTTGACATTTCTATGGAAATTTGGTTGCTTAGAATTCAAAGAAGAAAAATGGCAAAAGATTGGAGATAACTGTGAGTCAGGTAGGGGACGCAAGAAGTTTAACACATAAACAGCTTTATCTAATCTCACTTGAGGTGACTCCTGTTGCATTCCCCCTTTTTGTTTTTGAACCTGACGTTTAAGAAGTCCGTGAGCTCTTTCAATAATTGCTTGGCCCGTGGGGACATGTGGAATACCTGTTGAATGCTCAATGCCCCAAGCACGAAAGAATGCTTGCATTTTCTGCGAAGCATATGCTGGGCTGTTATCTGTTTTTACATGACACGGAACACCTAGAATAGAAAAGGCATGATAAAAATGACGAATAGCATCTCGAGTTTTCTCTCCTGTGAATGCTGAAGCAACCATTGCGTGAGAAAAAGTATCAACTGTAACATGAACATACTTAAAGCGACCAAATTCTGGCATTTCTGTAACATCAGTTTGCCATTCTTCTAACGCAGAAAGACCTCTAGGGTTGGTACCATAATACTGAGTGACATGAGTCATATGACAGTCGGGACAAGAGGAAAGAATAGATTTTGCTTCGGCAGTAGACAATTTGAATTGCTGCTGTAAAGCTTGAGCATTCTGATGAAAAAATTGATGGGATAAAATTGCCTGCTGCAACACATTGGGTACAGTTTTGATTGCAGCAGCAGCTACTAAAGAGTCTACATAGGCATTGCCTTTCAGCAAAAAATCCTGGTAATGATGTATGGCTGCGAATGTGCATGATAAAGTAAGAATGTTTTCGAGCACCAATAACTGTCCACAACTTCACTAATATAGTAAACAATGGTTTCTCTTGAATATTATACAATACTGCTTGATCTAAATGCTTAACCAAATTGGCAACATAAACTGAATCAGTAACTATGTTTACAGAACCAGGAAACAAAATAAAAGCCAAAAGAACAGCAGAAAGTTCAACCAGTTGAGGAGATCCCTGCTGAATCACTGTCTGATATTCCCAGTGATCATCCTTTCTCCAAGCCACAGCTGCTTTTCCGGTTTTCCCGGACCCATCTGTAAAAATCCTTATACCTTCCACTGGAACGGGAGAACAAATTTGCTTGCCTTCAAAAGGAATCTCTTTAGTCAGTGTTAGAACAGGATGAGAAGGCAAGTGATACGAGATTTGGCCTGTAAAACAAGATAAGGCAGATTGCAATTCATTATTATTTTGAAAGCACCATTCAAAATACCACTGTTGCACAGGTATCACAATGGTCACAGGGTCCTGTCCCAAAATCTCATGACAACGCCTGCGACCCTTGATGATAATATCTGCAA